GGCAGCGTCACTGGCCCTCATATGTGGGATCCGAACCGGGGCCCTCTGGCATCCCAAGCGAGTTCTTAACCATCTCGCCACTCGGCCGGCCCATAACCATCTTTATTACATGCATTTTTAATCATTTCTCTACATGCATTACAAAATGCCTATTACATCCATTCCCATAAATAACACTGTTCTCAATGAAGCAAATGGATAGCATTCTTATAATCATCTTTTATACTATTCAAAAATAGTTAATATTATTATACTTCATATTTTCTCTCCCATGTAATGTTAGAATCTTCTTGACTTAGCCATCTTTGTTATGGAATCTTTAATCTATCAATATTTTATTTTTTGTTATACCTGTTAGTGATTTGATTATTATAACATTAACTATGAAAGAAGTGCTTTCTGACAAAAATGAATTGCTCCTTGATGGGATTAAATTATAATTGTATAAGTTAAATATTGTTACAAAATGTTGATCTATATATTTCAATTTTTAAATGATTTTACAGGTCAGATCATGTCACTTAGGTCTTCAAAATCTTCAATAAATCTAAACAAACTAATTGCCATAAAAAATTTAGGAAGTTGTCGAAGAACTCTCCCCCAAAAGTACCAAGCCTATATAATATCATAGGTGAAATCCGTCAAACCTTAAATGAACAGCTAATTTACTATTAAACTGTTTCTGAGCATAGAAAAAGATAAGCTTCCACATTTTTAAATAATATAAGCTTAAAATTATACCAAAACTTGACAAAGATAGCACCAAAAGAAGTAAATCACCAAACTTACTAATTAATATCAATACAAAAAAATCCTAAATAAAATATTAGCAACCAAATTCCATTACACATTTAAAGAAAGATAAACCAATTTATATCAGACAATTTCCTAAATATTTGAATAGGTCCCCCAAGTCAATTTTAAAAAGCAACTTGACAACCCAATTGAAAAATGGGCAAAGTATTTTAATAGAGTCTTCACAGAAAATGAAATACAGATGGCTCTTAAGTCTATGAAAAGATGCTTAACCTCACCCATAGTAAAAATAATGATAATTAAAACAGTGAAATGCCATGTTTCATCTACTATATTGGCTGGTAATAGTTCATGTTAGTTTTGATATAGGGAAATACTCTTTTATAAAACACTGATTAATATGTAAATTGTTATAATCTCTTTGGAAAATAATTTGACAAAAATATGTCACAATTACAAAATACCCTTTGATCCAGAAATTCTACTTCTAGGAATATATTGTACATACATATATGAGGTCTGACAATTAAGTTCACAAACTTGTTGCAATGATGTTGCTAACCTTTTTTGATATCAGAGAGATTATTCCTTATGAATTTGTACCAACTGGACAAACAGTTAACCAAGTGTACTATTTGGAAGTGCAGAAAAGGCTGCGTGAAAAAATTAGACAACCTGAACTTTTCAACAATTCATGGCTCTTGCATCATGACAATGCACCAGCTCAAACAGTGCTATCATTGAGGGAGTTTTTAGCCAGTAAGCAAATAACTATATTGGAACACCGTCCCTACTCACCTGATCTGGCTCCCAATGACTTGTTTCTTTACCTGAAGATAAAGTAAATATTGAAGACATTTTGATGACATTCAGGACATCAAGGGTAATATGACGACAGCTCTGATAGCCATTCCAGAAAAAGAGTTCCAAAATTGCTTTGAAGGGTGGATTTGGCGCTGGCATTAGTGCATAGCTTCCCAAGGGGAGTACTTCGAAGGTGACTGTAGTGATATTCAACAATGAGGTATGTAGCACCTCTTCTAGGATGAGTTCTCGAATTTAATTGTCCGACCTCATATGCATTTGTATATACAAGATTGTTCACAGAAGTATACTTTTATAATGCAAAATATTTAAAACAACATAAATATCCATCAGAGGTTAAGTAAATTCTGGTAAATCCAGACTTGGAATACTATAGAGCTATAAAATGAATGAATAGGCTCTTTATATACTAATGCCCAAGTTATCTAATACCTAATATCTAAGTTATGAAAAAAATCAAACATTTTAATTTTAAAATATGTAAAAAAGGGGTTTAAAGAGCATGTGTACTTTTCTACATATGCAGAGAATTTTTCTGGATGGACGTACATTAGTAGCCTTGAGGACAGGGCCTAATGGCCAGGGGTAGGACTATTAGGGAGACTCTTCACTCTACCATTTGTACTTTTTAAATATCATGCCAGGTGAATATACTACTTTTTTTTTAAAATTTAAGTATTAACAAAGGAAAAAGACATAAAGGAACTGGAGAATGACCAAGAACATGTTATTTAAGATTCTCAAGTGGATAAAAGTATTAAACTGTAAAAACATTTAAAAGATTAGGAATACTCAGTCCGGAAAGAGAAAAGTAAAGACAGGTATAGAGTAAAACATTTTCTAACAAATCTCAGATTACTTAAGATTTGAAATTAAAAGTTCTGATTATATCTTGATAAGTCTTTCTTTTGCACCTTGTTTTTCCAGTCCTTAGTTTTCAAATAAATTCAGTCTTCAAAAATGTAAATTTCAGGGCCAGCCGAGTGGTGCATTAAGGTTAATAGCTGGCTTGGGATGTCAGCTCTGTGCAGGAGGGCCCCGGTTCAGATCCCACATGAAGGCCAGTGACGTTGCGCCCTTTACAGCTAAGATGGTGAACAACAGCTCAACCTGGAGCTGGACTGTCATGAGTCGCCGACAACGGCGTAGGCTGCAGCCCCTGCTGCAGTGGGCTGCCATAAGCTACCGTGTGTGGCCAGCAGCCAGTGTGAGTGGCCAGCAGCTGGTGTGAGCTGCCAAGAGCCGCTGTGAGCGGCCGTCCAGTGGCCGGCGACTGATGTGCCTCACCCAGGAAGAGTGCAATGATGATACCAACATGGGCCAGTGAGGTGACGTCCTCCACAACTAGACTGAAGAACCAAAGAATAGCAACTTGTCTGCTCCTCTTCCCCGAGTCCCCAACACTATTCCTTTCTCCCAATTTCCCAATAAAATCTTAAAAAAAAAAAAGAGATGTAAATTTCATAAGAACAGGGTAGTTTGGTTTATTCATTGCTTTATCCCTAGCACTTAGAACAATGCTTGGCACATAGTAGGCATTCAGTAAATAACTGAACAAATAATGTAGTTGTACCTATAATTAATGATAACCTCTTCTATTACAGGTTTTAGTTTGGCTTCTTGTAGCTTAAGGTTTAAAAATTTCGTCAAAATAATAGGTTGGTAACCTCAAACACAAATGCTAAGGATAGCAGGCCAGTTGTCACTTTCCCTGACCTATTTCTTTTTCTCTTCTTTTTTGTTAACATATATTTTTTTAAACTAAATTTACTGGGGCAACAATGGTTAGTAAAATTACATAGATTTCAAGTATACAATTCTCCCTGACCTATTTCAGATATTTGCAGTTTTTAAAGTTCAGGACCAGGACCTGTTTCCTACAGGTCACTCCAGCAGCAAAGTTGCCATGGCAACACCTTGTGCATAACCTGCCATCTCCCATTTTAAGAATCATTGTATCTCCTGGTGAACCCATGATGTAAGAAATTCAGAATAACTGGAAGCATCTCTAAACTTTTGAAGTTGATGTTTTGGAGCTCAGCCATGATCCACAAAATTTATCTTAGAATCTTTGCTAGACATATAAATGGGTGACATGGGTCATGTTATATGACACTTCTTATTTCCTAAAGAATCTCCTTTTGTTGTCTTAACTAGCCTCCCATCCCACAGACCTTCCATAAGAGAACCTTTAGAACATCTGATCTGATAAATATGTATAGACTTATAGGGCAATGAGGCAAGATATGTGAAATCAGTACTAAATCAGAAATCTGGACATGTAATAGTGACATCTACCTTGCACGCTGGATCAGCCTATAGGCAATGTACTTGCGGAACAGGTATCCCAGCCGAAATGTGTCCGTATAAAGGGTCTCAATTATGAGATTCCTAGCTGTTGTCTGTAGTTCTGAAGGAAGTCCAGAAGTTTCTGTGGCCTGATGTAAGAGTATCAGGTTCTTCCTCTGAGCGCCCACATCAACAAAATACCTCTGCTCTTTGAGCTCTTGGGGAGAGGAAGGGGGTACCATCATCTTGGGTTTCTTGGTACCTGGAACTGAAGTCAGTATGCAGGGCTTGTTTATAGGGGGGAATCGGAATTTCTGGTCCCATTCAGAAGATGAGATCTGTGATGTTTTGGGTAGTGGAGTAGTAAGAGCAGGCAGCGATGTCATAGGCTTCATAAGAGTAGGAAGAGCCCCTTCATCAATGTAAGGGGTTTCTGATACTGGTGTCCTATCATTGGTGAGATAGGACTGAAATGTTCTAAATTGTTCCATGGCAAAAGGATCATTGAGTAACTGGGTTTCTTCAGAAGTGTCAGAGACCTCTGATATTTGGATCTTCTTAGTGGTAAAAGGGGCTTGAGGTACCTTGAAATTTGGAGCACTGGGATGGACCAATGTTGATTGAGATTTCAGAGAAGAAACAGTTGCCAGTCTTCTCTTAGAAACAGAAGAGGGCAAATCTTTCTGGGGCTGTCCAGGAGTTGAGGGGGCCCATAGTGTTGAGGGATGCCCAGGGGTGGGAGAGGTCTGTAGTGGGGAAGCTTGCCCGGGAAGAGTCCATGGTGTCAGACGCTGCCCAAGGGTAGAAGGGGTTTGTAGATAGGGAGATTGCTCACAGGTAGCAGGGGGCTGAAATGCCTGGGGCTGCTCAGAGGAGATTAAGGGTCCAGATTCCATGAGTTTCCCAGGGATGAAAGAGGTCCCAGGAGCCAAGGGCTTCCCAGGAAAGAGAGGATCCAAGAGAGTGGGGATCTGTGAGGTGGTGGGTGGGACTTCAGCTATAAGGGGCTGTCTGGGGGCAAGAGGGGCCTTCGATATCAGACAAGACTGGGGAGTCAGAGAGTCCCTAGACATGAGGAACTGCCTAGAGCTATGAAGGGAATCCAGTGCAAGGGGCTGCCCTGGAGTGGGAGGAGCCCCAGATATAGGAAGCTTCCCAGTCACGGTGGGTGGGACCTCTGGTGCTAGCAACTGCACAGAGGTGGATTGACTCTTAGAAACCAGGGTCTGTCTAGAGGAAGGAAAAGTCTGTGGTGCTGCGACCTTCCTAGGGTAAGGAGTCGTCTCCGTTCCTAGGGATTTCCTAGGGACAAAGAGGGCTTGGGTAACAGGAGACCTTGATATCTGCAAAGGAGTAGAAGAGACCTCAAACATTGAGGACTTCTCAGCAGTACAAACAGATGATGCCAGGGGTCGCCTAGTTCTTGATGTCATGGGTTGCCCAGAGGGAAGAGAAGCCTTTGATTCTTGAGGTGGTCTAATAGTGGAAGGAGCCAATATGAGGGACTGCTTAGGAATGTGAAGAGCCCTTGGTTTGATGCATTTATCGGTAATAGAAGAGGTCCTAACTTCCGGGGTATGTCCTGAAGAAGGATCAGCCCAGAGTTGTGAGGGCTGCTCATTAATGGGAAGAGCTCTTGATTTTAGGTCCTTCTTAAACATGTGAGTAATACCCACGGGCTGGGCCTGTCCTGGGGTAAAGGGGGCTCCCAAAGGTTGGACTTGGTCAGAGGTAATGGGAGGTCCTAAGGCATGCACTCTATCTGAGGTGAGAGGGGTCCCCAAAGCCTGGGTCTGTTCAGGAGTAAGTGTGACAGCTGACATCCAGGCATTTTGCGGGGCAATAGGGACTCCCAGTGCTTGGTTCTGTCTAAGAGTAAGAATGTTTGATACTTCTTGAGCTATTCCTGGAGTGATAGAGACCCCCAATTTCCAGGCCTGTTTTTCTGTGAGAGAGGTCTCTAATGCCTGAGCCTGTTCAAGGGTAAGAGGGACCCCTGATGCTTGTTCCTGCTCAGGGGTCAGGGTGATACCCACTGCTTGGGCTTGTTCATGGGTACATGTGATACCCAAAGTCCGCACTTTCTCAGGAGTAAGAGTCAACTCCAGTGCCTGTGCCTGTTCTGGGAGAAGGTCCTGCAATGCCTGGGTCTGCTGTGGTGTGATAATGACTCCCAATGCCTCATCCTGTCCTTGGCTGATAGGGACACCAGATTTCTGGGCTTGTTGAGTAGTTACAGGGATCTGCATTGCCCAGGTCTGTTCAGAAGTGACTGATGCCTTTAGCATCTGGTCCTGTTTAGGGGTAATAGGTCCTCTCAATGTCCAGTCTTGTTCAAGAGTGAGAGGAGACCTCAAAGCTTGGACTTGCTCATGTGTGAGTATGACTCCCAAACTCCGGGATTTTTCAGGAGTGAGAGTGACCACCAACGCCTTGAACTGCTCAGTGGTAAGAGTGATGCCCTGTGCCTGTAATTGCTGAGGGGTAAGAGTGATCCCCAGAGCCTGGGCCTGTTCAGGGGTGACAGTGATGCCTTGCGCCTGCGCTTGCTCAGGGGTGACAGTGACCCCAAGTGCCTGGGACTGCTCAGGAGTAACAGTGATCCCAAATGCTTGGGCCTGCTGAGGGGTCGCAGTGATCCCTAGCACCTGTGCCTGTTCAGGGGTAACTGTGACCCCAAATGCATGGGCCTGCTGAGGGGTGAGAATCATTGTCTGGGCCTTGGCCTGCTGAGGAGTGACAGTGAACCCTTGTGCCTGGGCCTGCTCAGGGGTGACAGAGACCCTAAGTGCCTGTGCCTGCTCAGGAATGACAGTGACCCCAAGTGCCTGGGCCTGCTCATGGGTGACCGTGATCCCAAATACCTGGGCCTGATGAGGGGTCACTGTGATCCCAAGTGCCTGTGCCTGCTCAGGGGTGACAGTGATTCCTTGTGACTGTGCCTGCTCAGGGGTGACAGTGATTCCTTGTGACTGTGCCTGCTCAGGGGTGACAGTGATTCCTTGTGACTGTGCCTGCTCAGGGGTGACTGTGATCCCTTGTGTTTGTGCCTGCTTAGGGGTGATCGTGATCCCCTGTGCCTGCTCATGGGTGATGGTGATCCCTTGTGCTTGCTTAGGGGTGAAAGTGATCCCCTGTGTCTTGGCCTGCTCAGGAGTGATGGTGACCCCTTGTGCCTGTGCCTGCTTAGGGGTGACGGTGATCCCTTGTCCCTGTGCCTGCTTAGGGGTGACGGTGATCCCTTGTCCCTGTTCCTGCTTAGGGGTGATGGTGATCCCTTGTGCCTGTGCCTGCTTAGGGGTGACAGTGATCCCCTGTGTCTTGGCCTGTTCAGGGGTGATGATGATCTCTTCTGCCTGTGCCTGCTTAGGGGTAACGGTGATCCCTTGTGCCTGTGCCTGCTTAGGGGTGACAGTAACCCCAAGTGCCTTGGCCGGCTGAGGGGTGACAGTGACCCCAAGTACCTGGGCCTGCTTAGGCGTGACAGTGATCCCTAGTGCTGTGGCCTGCTCATGGGTGACAGTGGTCCCCAGTGTCTGGGTCTCTTTAGGGGTGAGAGTGATCCCCTGGGCCAGGGCCTGCTGAGGGGTGAGAGTGATGCTCTGTGCCTGCGCCTGCTCACGGGTGACAATGACCCCAAGTGCCTGGGACTCCTCAGGGGTAAGAGTGACCCCTTGTGCCTTGGCCTGCTCAGGGGTGACAGTGATCCCAAGTGCCTGGGCCTGCTCAGGGGTAAGAGTGATCCCTTGTGCCTGGGCCTGCTGAGGGATGAAAGTGATGCCTAGTGCTTGGGCCTGCTCAGGGATGACATTCATCCCTTGTGCCTGGGCCTGCTTAGGGGTGACAGTGATCCCAAGAGCCTGGGCCTGCTCAGGGGTGACAATGATCCCAAATGCCTGGGCCTGCTGAGGGGTAAGAGTGATCCCTTGTGCCTGGGCCTGTTGAGGGATGAAAGTGATGCCCAGTGCCTGGACCTGCTCAGGGGTGAGAATGACCCCCTGGGCCTGGGCCTGCTTAGGGGTGACAGTGATCCCTTGTGTGTGGGCCTGCTCAGGGGTAAAAGTGATTCCCAGTGCCTGGGCCTGCTCGGGGGTGACAGTGATCCCAAGTGCTTGGGCCTGCTCAGGGGTGACAGTGATCTCTTGTGCCTGGGCCTGCTCAGGGGTGACAGTGATTCCCAGTGCCTGGGCCTCTTCATGAAAATCAGCAATGGACTTTGTAGGGGACTGTCCAGAAATAGGAAAGGGCCCAGGTGAGGAAGACTGTGTGAAGGTGGGAGAAGTGATTGGCATGGGGTGCTCTTCATCAGCAAGACTCTCTAATGTCTTAAGATCCCCATGGAAGTTTTGTGTTTTGTGTAGCTGGGATGCATCGTTCCATGTGTTCTTCCTGAGAGACAATGGCACTGAAATGAGGCCGAAAATCTCTTTTAGTTCTTCAGAGTTTTCCTTCTTAATCTTCATCTGATCCTTTCCTTTTTTCTGCCACTGCCTTTCATGGTCCTCTGCCTTTCTCCTCCGCTTCTGCTTTTCCTCCTCCTTCTCCCACCTGCTTTCCAGCTCCAGATGTTTCACTTCCTTCTGAACCTGTCCCATCTGCTGTCCCTTCTTTTCCAAGAGCACCCCTTGCTTTTTCACTGTTTGCTCCCATGCTTTCAGCTGCTGTTGCTTTTGCTTCTGCTGCTCTTCTTCCTCTTCTTCCATTTGCTTTTGCTTCTCATCTTGCTCACTGTGCTTTTCTATCCTATGTTTTTGCTGTTCCTCCCACATCTCTTCCTCCTGCCACTGATACTTCTGTTGCTTTTTCTTTCCTTCCTTCATCTGGAGCCATTCCTTTTCCTTCTTCAAATTCTTTTTTATCATCTTATAGCTCTTCTTCCAGAGATTCCTTTTTTTACCCAACTGGTCTTTAAGATTTATATCAAAAATTTTTTCTTGACCCTCTTGCAGATATTCCTCCCGTCTTTGTTTTTCCTTTTTCTCATGGTGTGTCTCTGCTATCGAGACTACTGAAGCATCTCTTTCACTTTCTATTTCAGTCAAGATCATTTGTATTAAATTGTGAACTATTGGGTCCATGCTCTCAGATGAGAGTAAAGTGCTAATTTTAGAATTTACATGAATTGGCTTCTGAATATGCAATCCTGGCATATATGAGAGTTTTTGTTTCATAGGTTCCTCTCCAACTTGTTCTGCATATTTTATATCTTTGTGTTTTCTCAAGATTTTTATCACAGTTTCAGCCACATTTTGGAAATATTCCTCCATTTTTGCCTTTATGATTTCTAATTTTTCTACTTCTGCTTTGTTAAGTAATAACTCCTTTTCTGGCACAGTCTTTTCATCCAAAGGCTTTTCTGTGTTATCAATTTTCTCTTTCAGGAAAGCTATTATTGCTTTCTGAAATTCTTCTAGGTTATTTTGTTCACCTTTTTCATCAGAACTTTCTAGACCCCTGGTAGATTCTGAAGTCTCTTCAGTTATCCCAGATTGTGATTTAACAAGTTCATGAGAATTGAACTTCTTGGTGATGATTGATGTATCCTTCTCTTCAGTTTCTTCTTCTTTGCTTGCAGTAGTTCCTGGAGAGATTTGATATTCCTTTCCTTTTGTTTTCACTTTCTCATCGAGATGATCACGTTGGATCAACCTGAATGGCTCTGTGGTGCCGATCGTCTCACTTTTGCTCTCTTTCTCTATTGACTCAGTGGTGGGCTCCTCTTTATTCTCTGAAGAAATTTGGCGTTTCCCAAGTAAATATTCAAGTTTGACCTTCCTGGCTTGTTCCCACATACTACTTGTTCCACTTTTGCCACCTTGGCTCTTTGTGTCAGTAGAAGGGAAATCAGCAGATACACGTTGATCTTTTGACTCAGTGGATGACTTTGATTTGGCTTCAGAAAAGGATTTTCTTTCTTTACTCTTCTTTTCCAGTGCTTGTAGCTCAAACTGGTAATCAGCTTTGGGCTCTGAGACTATCTGTTTACCTTTATCTCCACTCAGACTTGATACAGAAGTCTCCCACACATGTGGTCCTTTTGTACGCCTTCTTTTCTGTGATTGATACTGGTCAGTCCCATCTTTCTGATAGATGCCATCTTTCTTCAGTAATACCTTATCTTCAGTGATATCTTTAGAAGATGTTTTCTTTTTTTTCCCAGGTAAAGGGGATCGCTGTTCAATTAAATCTGGAGTCATTTCAACTTGGGCTGTATATGAAATAGCTGAGTCCCACTTGATCCCTGAGACTTTGGTCCCTTTTCTGGGGGTCTCATCTATAATATTTTCTAATTGTTTAGCCAAAATACTGTCCATAATGTCTTCTTTATCAGCTTTGCTAATGGCCATGGACGATTGTATAGAAAGCTCAGATAATATGTTCAAGGGTGATGTGGGTATCGCTGTAGATACTTTGGATCGAATAAGTTGCTCACATTTTTCTTCTGCATATTGAAGTTTCTGCTGAAGCATTACATTTTTTTCACTGAGATCTTGTATTATCTTCAGGGAGAGCTCTTTTTCTCTTTTATTGGTCTCATATATATACACATTGGCACTTTGGAAGTCAATAAGATTTACTTCATCCTTTAGTGCACTCAGTGCTTTAGAAAGGTTTACTATTGTTGATGATATATATTTAATAGCACTGTTTTCCAATTTATTGAACATTGCAGTATCTATGAGTTCCTGTAGCATACCTTGGATTTCTGAAACCTTTATATTTCTTGCAAATTCATCACTAATCATCTGATCTGGTCTTAAAGCATTGGCTGTTGCAGGTCGCTTTATAACTCTTTCTTTCCAAGATTTCCAAAGAATACCTCTAGATGCTAGAAGAAAAAAACATAAAACACAAAATAATGAGATTGCATATCTTCTTTTGTGTTGTGCTCTATGTTTAAGCCTAAAGAAGTTAGCTTAAATTAAGAGACAGCTGTGGGAAAAAGATTCCTCAGGAAACTTTGAATCTAAAATAAAAGAACAACTATTTTTTCACAATCACCTAGATCTTCTGCTTACAGAGTTTAGGAGAAGAGCTCAGCTGTGACCTCAACTTACCTTCTGTTACAAGTTTGGGATTAAACATGATGTAAGCCAAAACTTACCTTTGGCTTTGATTATGCTTGGTGCTTTTTATGTTATTTCTTGGGTTCCTATCTTTTTTTCTCCCTTGTCTGAGTCAAAGTTACCTTGGTTGTTTCAAAAGGGTTATACAAGAACAGACAAAAGTAAAATATTTGAAGTGATTTCCAGAATGGCTGAATGAGAAACTCAACCAATTTTCCCCCCTAAAAAAAGCAGTACTAAAACCAGACAAAACTGCCAAAACCAACCATTTTAGGACTTTGGAAAATGACCAAAGGCACACAACAAATTGAGAGGCATTTATCCAAAAAAATTACTGAACCTCAGTAACAACGGCGGAAGTGTGTGATATTTTAGCTTGGAACTGCTCCGATCTGCGGCTCCCCAGCTCCTTGGCCTGTTAGTTCTACCATACTGAGGCAGGATGTGAGGACTGACAGCTCTACTGCCTGAAGGGGTTGATTTCACATAGAGCAAAGCATGAAAAAATTCATGCCTAGGGGCATTGTTTAAAACAGTACTTTCTTAACCCATACACAGATCCATTAGCAAAGAATAGAAGCCTTACTGGATCAATCTGGATTAATTAATGACTGGCCAATCATTGACTTACCACTAAGATCTGCTGACCAAAAGATTACCCCTAGGAATTGAGGCTTAAAGATAAAAACAAAAAGAAAAACAAAACAAAAAAACCAACTGAGTAGAGATATCAGTGGCTGCATGCTGTGGGGGAGACAGACTTCATCAAATTTGTTCAGAAAAGTCACTAAAAATCAAACAAAAAAAAGCAATAAAAACAAACACTGGAGGTTGTAGGGAGAATCAGAATCCAGAGTTGCTACAATATATTATCTAAAATGTTCCATTTTCCAGCCAGCCAAGTGGCACATTGGTTAGGAGTTGGTTTGGAACGCCAGCTCTGAGCAGCAGGACCCTGGTTCGGATCCCACATGAGGGCCAGTAACGCTGTGCCC